GATCCCGGCCCCGACACGGGCCCGGTGACGGGCTCAGGCCCCGGCCTGGCCCCGGTGGCGGCTCCGGACCCGGACCCGGTCCCGCTCACGGACCCGCTCACGGACCCCGACGTGCAGCCGCTGCCCCGGGGCGGGTTCCGCTGCCGCCTGTGCCAGATCACCGCGGCCAACCGTGAGTGGGGGCCCGGGGGGGCTCCCGGTTAACGAGACCGGGGGGGTTCGCCGTTGCCGTGACCCCCCCGGTGCCCCCCCAGGCCCGAGCCTCGTGTCCCACCTGTCCGGGAAGCGGCACCGGCGGCTCCGGTCGCTCCGGGCCGAGCGCCGGGAGCAGGAGCTGCGGAGCCTCTTCGTGAGCGGCTTCGCCCGCGGCACCGACCCCGCCGAGCTGCGGCGGCACTTCGGGGCCTTCGGGGCCGTCACGGGGGTCGTCATGGACAAGGACAAGGTGGGGGCACGGGGGGGCTCCGGGATCCCCCGGGAATGGGGACCGGAGGGGGGATGTCCCTGTCCCGGGGGGTCCTGGGGGAGCGTTCCAGCCTCGGGGGAGCCCCGGGGGGGGAGTCCTGGGGGGTTCTCGGGGGGTGTCCCAGCCCCAGGGGGGGTCTCGGGGGGTGTCCCAAGCCCGGGGTGTCTCGGGGGGTGTCCCAGCCCCAGGGGGGGTCCCGGGGGGTGGCCCAGCCCCAGGGAGGTCCCGGGTTGTGTCCCAGCCCAGGGTGGGTCCCGTGGTGTTCCAGCCCCAGTGAGTACCCGGGTGGTGTCTCATCCCGAGGGGGGTCCCGGGGGGTGTCCCAGCCCCGCAGTGACCCCCCCTTTGCCCCCCCAGGGCGCCTTCGCCATCGTGGAGCTGTCGGAGCCCTCGGAGCGGCAGCGGGCCCTGGAGCACCCCCGGCACCTCCTGGGGGGGCGGCGGCTCCGGGTCCGGCCCCGGGAGCACAAAACCTTCCCCCGGCCCCCCCCGCGGGCCCGCGGCCCCCCCGAGGCCCCCCAGGCCCGGGGGCTGCAGGAGGCGCTGGGCCAGGCCCCGGACGTGAGTGGGGGGCACGGGGGGGGGACACACGGGGGCCGTTCCGGGGCGTTGGGGAGGTTTGGGGGGTCCTGGAGGGGAATCCCGAAGCTGTGCTGAGGGTTTGTGGGCTTTTGGGGTGCGGGGGGGGAGGGCAGGGCTGTCCGGGAAGGCGGGGGAGGGGTCCTTGGGCTCTCCCGGGGGTCCTGGGGGGTCCTGAGGATGTCCAGGTGTTGCTGCTGCCCCGGGTGTGTTGGGGGGGCCCCCCAGTGCCCCCCCCGGGCTCCCAGTAACGCCAGTCCCGCAGGTGGAGGCCCAGCTGGAGCTCCTGGTGCAGCTCCTGGAGCTGAGCGAGGCCGAGCGGCGCCTGCGGGGCCTCCTCGTGTCCCTGTTCCAGGAGGTGTTCGAGGAGTTCTTCCCAGGTGGGGACACGGGGGGGACACGGGGGGACAGGGGGGGGACGGGGGGGACTGGGGTGTGTGTGTGACACGGGGGGGACAGGGGGGGACAGGGGGGGACTGGGGTGTGTGTGTGACACGGGGGGTGACGGGTGTGAGGTGTGAGTGACACGGGTGTGAGTGACACGTATGACACAGGTGTGTTTCAGGTGTGTGACGTGTGCCGGGGGTGTGAGAGGTGACAGGTGTGTGGCGCGTCCCAGACGTGTCCCAGGCGTGTCCCAGACGTGTCCCAGGCGCATCCCAGACATGTCCCAGGCGTGTCCCAGACGTGTCCCAGGCGCGTCCCAGGCGTGTCCCAGGCGCGTCCCAGGCGTGTCCCAGACGTGTCCCAGACGTGTCCCAGGCGTGTCCCAGACGTGTCCCAGGCGTGTCCCAGGCGTGTCCCAGGCGTGTCCCAGACGTGTCCCAGACGTGTCCCAGGCGCGTCCCAGACGTGTCCCAGGCGCGTCCCAGACGTGTCCCAGGCGCGTCCCAGACGTGTCCCAGGCGCGTCCCAGGCGTGTCCCAGGCGTGTCCCAGACGTGTCCCAGGCGTGTCCCAGGCGCATCCCAGACATGTCCCAGGCGTGTCCCAGACGTGTCCCAGACGTGTCCCAGACATGTCCCAGGCGCGTCCCAGGTGCGTCCCAGACGTGTCCCAGACGTGTCCCAGACGTGTCCCAGGCGCGTCCCAGGCGTGTCCCAGACGTGTCCCAGGCGTGTCCCAGGCGTGTCCCACCCGTCACACACACGCGTGTCCCCCCCCAGGCTGCTCCATCGTCCCCTTCGGCTCCTCAGTCAACGGCTTCGACGTCCACGGCTGCGACCTGGACCTGCACCTGGAGCTGCCGGGGGGGGGAGACCCCCCCGAGGGCCCTTCCAAGGACCCCCCCGAGGGCCCCCCTGAGGACCCTTCCAAGGACCCCCCCGAGGGCCCTTCCAAGGAGGACCCCCCCGAGGGCCCCCCTGAGGACCCCCCTGAGGACCCTTCCAAGGAGGACCTCCCCAAGGACCCCCCCCACACCCTGCCGGGGGTCAGATCCCCCCCCCATGGACCCCAGACAGGGCACAGGGACCCCCCCGGGGGACCCCACACCGAGGGGCTCTTGAGAGGGGACAAGGAGCCCCTCGGAGACCCCCACCCTGCCCTGCCAGGGGACAGGGACCCCCCCGGGGGGGCCCCGATGGGGGATGTGGACCCCCCTCCCACCCCCCCCACCAACGGGTCCCTCCTGGGGTCTGAGGGGTCCCCCCCCGAGGGGTCCCTGCCGGGTGACGGGGACCCCCCCGGCTCCGAGGGGTCCCTGTCTGAGGACGAGGGGTCCCTGCTGGGCCCGGGGGGGTCTCTCCGGGGGGCCCCCCCCGGGCGGGTGCTGGCCCTGGTGGGCTCGGTGCTGCGCCGCTGCGTCCCGGGGGTCCGGGGGGTCCGAGCCGTGCCCGGCGCCCGCCGGCCCGTCGTGAAATTCAGCCACAAACAGTCGGGGCTGGAGGGGGACGTGTGTGTGCACAACCGGTGAGGGGGGGCCGGGGGGGCTCTGGGGGTGCTGGGGCGGCTCGGGGGGGCTCCGGGGACGTGTGTGTGCACAACCGGTGAGGGGGGGCCGGGGGGGCTCGGGGGGGGCTGGGCTGGCCCTCCAGGTGGGCTCAGGGGACGTGTGTGTGCACGACCTGTGAGGGGGGGCTCACGTGGGCTGGGGGGGCCGGGGGGTGCTCAGGGGGTGGCGGGGGCTGGAGGGGGACGTGTGTGTGCACAACCGGTGAGGGGGGCCGGGGGGCTTCGGGGGGGCTGGGGGTGGACGTGTGTGTGCACAACGGTGAGGGGGGGCCGGGGGGGCTCAGGGGGGGATCAGGGGAGGCCGGGGGGGCTCGGGGGGGCTGGAGGGGGGGCTCAGGGGACGTGTGTGTGCACAACCGGTGACGGGTCCAGGGGGGCTCCTGTTCCCTCCTTCCTTCTTTTTCTTCCTCCTTCCCCCCCCTTCCCCCCGTTTCACCCCGTCCGTGCCCCCCCAGCCTGGCCCTGTTCAACACGAGGTTCCTTCGGTTCTGCGCCGACGCTGACCCCCGAGTGCGGCCCCTGGGCTACGGGGTGAGGGCCTGGGCACGGGCCCGGGGGCTGGCAGGTGAGGGGGGCACAGGGGGGGCACAGGGGGGGCACAGGGGACCCCCCCGAGGGGCCGGGACCCCCCTGCCCACACCCCGTTGTCCCCCCGTGGGCCGTGCTGGGGGGTCCTGGCGGGTGAGGGGGGGCCATGGCCGGGTGGGGGGGGGTCAGGATGGGGGTCCTGATCCCCCCCCTCCATTTGTGTCCCAGGGAACCCCTCGGGGGGGGGCCCCCTGCTCACCAACTACGCGCTGACGCTGCTCGTGGTGTTCTTCCTGCAGACCCGGAGCCCCCCCGTGCTGCCCTCGGGGCTGCGCCTGCGGGACCTGGCGGGTGAGACCCCCCCCGGGGGTTTGGGGGTGTCACCCCCCTTCTCAGACCCCCCCCCCCGGGATTTGGGGGTGTGACCCCCATTCTGAGACCCCTCCCAGGGATTTGGGGGGTGTGACCCCCGTTCTCAGACCCCCCCCCGGGGATTTCGGGGGTGTGTCCCCCCCATTCTGAGACCCCCCTGGGGATTTGGGGGGTGTCCCCCCCATTTTAGGTCCCCCCTGGGGATTTGGGGGGTGTCACCCCTGTTCTGAGACCCCCTCTTGGGGATTTGGGGGGTGTCCCCCCCATTCTGAGACCCCCTCTTGGGGATTTGGGGGGTGTCCCCCCCCATTCTGACACCCCCCCGGGGCTTGGGGGGTGTCCCCCCCGTTCTGAGACCCCCCCCTTGGGGATTTGGGGGATGTCCCCCCCATTCTGAGACCCCGCGGGGGTTGGGGGGTGTCCCCCCCATTCCGTGTCCCCCCCCCTCACTGTGTGTCCCCCCCGCAGGCCCCGAGGACCGTGCCCAGGTGGGGGGGTGGGATTGCAGCTTCCCCCGGGACCCCTCGGTGCTGGAGCCGAGCGGGAACACCCAGAGCACAGGTGAGACCCCCCAAACTGGGGGGGGGCCCCAAATCCCTCGGGGGGCACTGAATTTTGGGGGTCCCAGAGGGTGTTTTAGGGATCTGTTTTTGGGGGGTCCCAGGGGCTCCCTGGATATTTATGGGGGTGTCTGGTCATGTTTTGGGGGGTACCTGGACACGTCTGGGTGGTTTTGGGGGTGTCAGGGGGGTTTTTTGGGGCACCAGCTGGGTTTCAGGGTGGTTTTGGGGGTCCCAGGACTGTCTGAACACCCCCCCTTTCCCTCCTGGACGAGGTCTCGTTTTTCAGGGGGGCTCTAGGGGGTGTTTTGGGGAACATTTGAGTGGTTTCGGGGTCCCAGGACCATCTGACCCCCCCGTTCCCCCCCCCAGGCTCCCTCCTGGCCGAGTTCTTCTCGTTTTTCGGGGGGCTGGACCTGCCCCGGCTGCTCCTGTCGCCCCGCGAGGGCCGAGCGCTGCCCCGGCCCCCCCCCGGCGCTCTGGGGGGGCTCCGCCCGGGCCCCCTGACCCTGCAGGACCCCTTCGAGCTGAGCCACAACGTGGCCGCCAACGTCCCCCCCCGGTTCGTGTCGCGGTTCGGCCGCTGCTGCCGCGAGGCCGCCAAATTCTGCCGCGGCCCCGAGTTCCGGCACCGGCCCCGCCGCTCCCGCCGCCCCTGGGGGGTCCTGGGGCTCCTCCGGCCCGGGGGGGGCTCCCCCGAGAAGGACGGGGGGGGCTTCGCCATCCCCCTCCCGCTGCGGCCCCGCGGGGGGCCCGGGGGGGGGCCCGGGGGGGGTCCCGGGGGGTTCCGGGAGGTTTGTGGGGCCGTGGGGTTCGTGCTCCGGGACGTTCTGGGCTGTCACTGCGACCCCGGGGGGGAACGGGGGGGCCCGGGGGGGGCCGAGGGGGGGGAGGAGCCGCCCCCGGGTCCGTCCCACGCGGAGGAGTCACCGCCGGGGGCCGAGTGTCACCTCGGGGGGGACACGGGACCTTCCCGGGGGGAATTCGGGGACGCGGGGGCGGCGGAGGAGCCGCCCCTGGATCCGCCGGGATCGGGGGGTCCCGTCGGGGGGGCGGCGGGGGGAGATTCCCGGGGGGAGCTCGGGCTGCGGGAGGGTCCGTGCCCGGCCCCGGGCTCGAAGCGTCCCCCCCCCGAGGCCCCGAACGGCCCCGGGATTCCCCCCGGGAAGCGCCCCCGGCCCCCCCCGCTGCTCCCCCCGTCCCTCTGGAGCTGCTCCGTCTGGCACCGGGTGTGGAGGGGCCGCCGCCGCCTCCGCCGCCGCCTCCGCGACCCCCGGGGGGGGCCCGGGGGGGGTCCTGGGGAATGGCCCGGGGGGGCTCAGGGGCCCGGGGGGGATCCCGGGGGGGGTCCCGGGCAGGACTCGCTGGCGCTGGAGCGGGCGGTGACCGAGGCCATCGTGCGGGGGGACACCGGGGACCCCCCCGGGAACCCCCCCGGGGCCCCCCCGGAGCCGCTGCTGCGCTTCCAGGCCCGCGCCCGGCGGGGGGGGTCGCGCCGGGACCCCCAAGTGCTGCTGCGGCTCCGGCCCATCCCCGACCCCCCCCCGCCGCTTTTCCACGAGTTTTTCCACTTCCTGAGGAGTTTCCTGCCCGAAATGGTTCGGCAGCGCCTGGGGATGGGGCGGGGGGAGGGCGGCGCGGACCCCCCCGAGGGGGGGGAGTTTTGTACGTCCTGAGTTTTTCCAGTAAAATCCGTTTTGCAGTTGGCTCCTGCGTGGGGGGGTTTTTGGGGACAAAACGGGGGGAAAAAAGGAGCTCTCGGGGACAAAAATCCACCCTCTGTCCTTGTCACCGGTTATTCCTTAAATTCCTTAAATTTCCCTTATTTCTAAGTTTCGGAGGATTTGGGGCCTCCCAGCACCGGCTCGGCTGGAAATTGGGTTTATTTCGATGTTTCCTGTGGGTGTTTAACCCCGAAAACCAGAAAATTTGGGTGTGAATGTTAACAACGATAACCAGACAATAACTGACGGGGGCATTCAGGACTCGGGGGGGGGGAACCCGCTTCCAGCGTGTCCTGGAGGGATCCCGGAGGGAATTTTGGGGAGAAACCTGCGGCCAATGGGAGCGGCCGGTGCGAAACTCGCGCGCGATATGCAAATTACCCGCGAGGGGGCGGGGCGAAGGCAACCGGAGCGCGCAGGCGGCCAATCGGGTAGAAGGAGGGCGTGGTTATGCAAATCGAGCTCCTTTCGGTCGCGCTCAGTGACGTCACTCGAGCGCGACGCCGTCACCGCAGCGACGATGGCGCTGAACGCGGGTGCGGCACCGGCGGGACCCCCCCGGGAAAACCCCCCCGGGAAAACCCCCCCGGGAAAACCCCCCCGGGAGAACCCCCCGGGAAAACCCCCC